TTTTATTGACTTTTATGGACATTCATAACTTATTTATACATAACACATAAACATTTATATTGCCATCAAAAGCTAATACTGTATAGTTTTACACATAAAAAGTGGCCATTAATTTACATTCTAATCTTTAATTAATTCTTCCAAGTAAATTCCGATTTTTTTTTATTTTAAAAACTGGTAAAATCGCCGTCAAAACAATAAAAGAAGATATTTTGATGATAAGCATTATATTACCATATCAGTGATCACTAAATGAGTTTAAATTTTCACAAACCTAAGAGATTGATAATTTTCAAAATATATTAATTATTTAACTGTCATAAGTTAAATAGATTTAAAACTATGAAGTAGCACCATATTTATGTTTTATTTCAATAGCATACCTGAAGATTATAAATTAAAAATGTTATATTTGTAAAACACGCTATTCAACATATTGCATAAGTAAGCCTGAAAAAAATTTGTCATGAGATAAAATGTATTAAAGTATAACTATCAGTTTGATATTTGATAATAATGTATAATATACATTACCGCTAATCAATTCTATCAATCTGTATAAATTGCATGACAACTGATGAATTATAGAAATACTGATAAGAAAAAATAGTAATATGATTGACACAATGTTTCAACTATGATATGTTTATATGTTCCGCGAATGATAGAGGTTAAAGTGGAAAGGATAACGGAGTACTCAATCATTTGCAATTCGACACGTGTCAACCATCATTCCACAAAAAAGAAAAAAATTTTCTATTAACGCTATGACAATCGATTTGTGCAAGCATATCAGCAAAGTAATATTGTTAGGCATTGCAATTGAACGTTTTAAAAATCCATATACTTTAATTTAGCTAATCAATATTGACAGTTATTATTAATAACAAATACATTCAACTTCGAGCAATTATTGTTCGAGAAATTAAAAATTTTGCTATACTGAAATAAACTAAATTAATTTACTCAATTGATATTTTACCTAAAAAAGTTAGTTAAGATCTTGACAATTTACTAATTTACAGAAAAAACGAAATCTAAAAATTTTAAACAAAAATGGGATATAAAATTTTAGCATTAGATCTAAAAGTTATAAATAAAAAACAAAAAGCGAACTATTTTGCATGTTGCGAAATTTTTAAAACTGTAAAAATATATTTGAGGGAAAATTGGAAAGGTTCGGTGAGATAAAAGCAAATGAGTTCTGTCTGAATGATCGACTCACATATTTTAAGATCATTGACTGATAAGTTCATTATCCTAAATTCCCGTGTGGGTGTGAAATTATTAATTATGCGGAACCTTGATAAATGATGAAAATCGTGTTAATCTAATTAATATTGCGTTAATTTGCAAAATTTAATGTCTTAGAATCATCGATACTATTACAATTTCTTCCTATGTGACAGACTTTGACGAACGACCCGTTTTCTCGCAATTTGCTTCGCTTCTTCTATCAATTCCTCCATCCTTCTTCTTCATACCAGCTCATTTGTTCAGGTGTCCAGAATGCTATCTGTTCATTACCTCCTTTCTCTCTCTCCCTCTCTCTTGTCATTCTTTCTTTCTCCTGTTTCCTGATATTTGAACGGATCCATAGAAGTTTATGAAAAATAGATAAATCTAATTTAGTAGTGGATCATAAAAAATAAGAAATTAGAATATAGATCAAACATTTTTTCTTTTAAATTTAATATTGGATGATTTTTTGTTTTATAATAATTACCATAACAGCATTTTTTGAAAAAGAATGGAACAGATGATTTTGTAGAAATTTAAACGAGTGATTATTTGTTATTTCACTAGGAACATTTAGGTAAATGAAATAATTCTATTGAATTTAAATAAATCTATTTCTGTAGTTAACTAAGTTTCTCGTAGGTTACTTTAAAAATTTAATAATTTTCAAAAATATGTTACTGATATAAAGAATAAATCGATTTTCATTTATGAATACCATTTGTCCTCCCCCGCTCTCTCTTCACTTCGCGCTTTCTATCGTTTTCTTTTAACCTTTTCTATTTTACCTTTTATTCAAGGCCTTATTGACTGATAAAAAATCATTTTTGACGGTGTCGGAAATTTAAGCAATTCATGAATTCAGTGTCATATAAAAAAAGTTGCTCGAAGTTCGTTGCCATTGTCTGTTTTAGGTCAAATCTCGAGAATACAAATCAGTTGATTGTCCACTTTTTAGAGAAATACCCAAAGTTATAGTTTTAACAACACTGATACTGTTAATGTTAATTATTGATGATTGGAAGAAATTGATTCAATTGTGTAAGAATTGCTATAAATTCCAATTGGCATATTCTTACGATATGAAATTGGAATTCGTATCATTCAACAAATTAGAGAAAATTACGATGTTTAAAGAGTAGAAGAATTGAATGATAACTATTTATTCGGAAATTTGTTTTTGGTTTCATTTTTATCGAGACATTGTCGATATTTTTTTTTACATACATGCTTGTTAATTTCTCGGAAATTTTTTTTCTTTTTTGAATTCTTTTCTATTGTAATTTAGCTTTCATCCACACAACAGTAATAAACAAACAAGAATTGATAGCTTTTTTTTTATTTTAATAATACTTTCTGAATTACATGTATTAAGCGGCTTAGTTTAAAGACAATGATTATTTATTTCTGACAAACTGTGAAATTTCAGTGAACATTGAAAACGAAGACGAAAAACAGTGGGATTGGAAGAAGGTTGGAAGGACTGGAAGGATGAGATTGATATGCCTGTTGAGGTGTATCCTCGCAGCACGTTTAATTCCATGGCTTTTTGCATTGCCATCATCCTTTGCTCCTGAGATATTGCAACCTTTAACTTCTATAGTACCTCCTCATTGTACAAAAACTGCTGTCATTAAATCTATGCTTTCTCATGGTTAGTCATTGCGAGCATACTGCAAGCATTTTAGAGAAATTATAAAAATCCATGAAAATTTAAAAAATGATCACTTAATTAGAGCAAACTTTAATTAGCTCATTACTGCTTCAAAGAAAAAATATTCTTTAATGATTAAAACTTTTTTAGTTTACTCTAAGTTGTATATTACAATTGTTTTCTGTTTTATCGTTTTTTTTTGGAATAATGGAACAGATATTTTGAAATTTTCCAAACATTTACTGTTAAATTAATGAAGAAATCAATTTTTAGATTAAAGGTTTTCAATTTTTTGAATTTCAAAAAGCTGCTACCGTTGTCTAAAGAGAACTTTAAATACTGAAATCATAAATGAAAGTGATAATCCTGAAGCTTTTCCTTGAGTGATCAAAAGTTTAATTCACATAAACACTTTTGAATTAACATTGTCCCGATGAGAATTTAATTTTTTATTTTTGTAATAGTTTATCGAAATGATTAATAAATGACAGAAATCAACGAGTTAGAAAAAATTTTGATAAAAAAGCCAACCCGTATTATGAATCACTGAAAAATTTTCAGATTAATTTAAGGAAAATAAACTTTTGTAATTGTCATTGTAATGTTTAAAAAAAAGAAAAAAATTGAGAATCGAATGGCAGAAACAAATGAATTCATAAAATCCATTATAAACTTTTATATTCGAAAAAAAACCAATAATTTGATAAATTAATTACTTCAAGAAAAACTAATCATTTCTGTCGGTAATTTCTTTGTTTTTTTCTAATTTCAAAAAATTTTGTTTACGTCAAAATTGATGAAATATATGTAAATTTATAGCATCCGGTGATGATATGATCCGTACCACACAAATAAATATTCGTATCGGTCTTCAAAATACTGCCTGTTTTCGATTAGAAAATAATAGCAATGAGAGAGATTCGCTGTTCATCGATGTTCTCAATGCGAAGTATTTTCATCTTTGCTGAAAATAATAATTTTCATTAAAAAAATTAATATTAATCTTTTAATCTCAAATGTTGTTCTCAAAATGTTTGTTTCTCAAATGTCTGTTTTGGCATTTTTTTATTCAAAAAAAAATTAAAGTGACAAAAAAATTGAACAAAAAAGTGCAATAATAATTATTGAAACTAAATTACAGAAGATTAAAGCTAAACAGAAATTAATTAAATTGAAAAAAGTTAATGATTTTAGGAGCCATGATCAAGGTTGGCTGCATACATTGACATTATCTCAATTAGAGCATCACCATCCAATTTCACAGCAATATGAATTTGCAATCCCAGAAGTACGAACTTCTTGTATTTGTGAATGCAATGTAAATTCGGATGTTTGCTCCGCGCGGACATATTCCTTTACCCATTGCGCTTACAGTAATAATAATACGCAAGTTGGTTTTGTCTTTTTTAACTTTGAAATTAACTTAAATATAAAAGTGAGGTAAAAATGAGAAAATTTTTATCGATTATAATTAATGATAAAGAATGAGAAAGGTAAGAAATGCGTGCAATTGCATATTTCAATGTAATGTTCAAATGTTAAAGAATTTTTTTTTTGTTCTCAAAGCGGGAAATATTTGAGCGTTTACGGTAGTAATTAAATTGATTGTGCTGCTAAACTTCATCTTATCAAAATGGAACAGAGTTTATCCTTTTTTAACAGCGAATCCGGTGGAATTTAAGAGTTTCTTGATTAGCAGCTAAAGTAAGCAAAATGACGGTAATTATATAAGAAGCAATATGAAATAGCTTTACTGACTGGACTAAATAGCTTTACTGAACCAACTAACTTAACTTATATTGCAAAATACACAGGCTACTGATAATCATAAAGATTAAGAGCCAAATTGAACAG